CATTGCCTTCCCAGCTCAATTCAATCTCGAAAATCATTGCAGAAACTTGATTCAAATAGCTCTATTTTATTTATTCCTCTCACAAATTTCGCCTCGAAAACGTTTACAATACGTAAATTTACTTCTACAACTAAAAATTATAGAGAGAAATTTCAAATTCATTAATACATAATTCTCAGAAAACAAAAAAATTTCACATTTAAAAAAGAAAAGAAAAATAGGAATGGAAGAAGCAAAATTGACAGGACCTGAAACTCTTCATCACTAGCGAGAGCGTGAAACGCGGCCTCGAGCTCAGCGAGCGCGTGCATTAGGGTCTCCGGGACGTACTTCCCGCCATACTTACCGAACCGGCCGAACGAATCGGGCCGGGGCAGAACCGGGAAGGCGCCGTTATCGTTTTTCTCATCCATCTGTAGAGCGGCGGAATCCCGGGTGAGAGTGCAGGAGATGGATGTAGGGGCAGCGGTGGCGCGGGAGGTAAACTTGAAGGGAAGTTGGGTGGAGGAGGAGGAGTAGGGTTTTGGGAGCGGCGGGGCGATAAGGCGGTGGGTTTTGCAAGTGGTGGAGGCGCTACCGGAGGCTGCTGCTGCCATTTATGAGGTTTCGGAAGTGACACGCCCACGCAATTGAGAGGAGAAACGTCGCCTCTTTTTCTTTTCTCTTTTTGTTTGGAGTAGAATAGTGGAGGCGAAAAAAGTTGTGTGAGAAGCTAACCTAGAGGCTTTTGACGATACGTATAAGCAAATAGATACAAAAAAAAAAAGAGTTAAATATCTAGAAACTAGTTAGAGCAAGGAAAAAGAAGATAAGGGACCTAAACTAAGTGAGGTGCATCAAGTATAAGAATGGAAATGTTCTTATTACAGATAACGCGGTCAAAGACAGATGGAGATGTTATTTTCATAAACTTTTCAATGAAAGACATGAAAGGAGTACTTCTTTGGGAAAGCTGAGTAACTCAGAATAGTGTAAAAAATACTCATTTTACCGTTGAATTAGGAAGGAAGTGGTTGTAGCATTGAAAAAGATGAAGCATAGAAAAGTAGTGGGCCCAAATGATATACCGATCAAAGTGTGGAAAGTTTTGGGAGAGACAGGTATAGCATGGCTCATAGACATTTTCAACAGGATTTTGAAAACGAAGAAGATGTCAAATGAGTGGCAAAATAGCACATTGGTGCCTATCTGCAAGAATAAGGGTGACGTACAAAATTGCATGAACTATAGGTGGATTAAGTGAATGAGTCATACAATGAAGCTCTGGGAGAGAGTAATTGAGCATAGACTGAGGCAAGAGACATGGGTCTCGGACAACCAATTCGAGTTCATGCCAGGACGCTTAACCATGGAGGCAATATATCTTTTACACAGATTGATGGAAATATATAGAGATATAAAAAAAAAAAGAATTGTACATGGTCTTTATAGATTTGGAAAAGGCATATGATAGGGTCCTAAGAGACATTCTCTAAAGGATTTTAGAGAAGAAAAGAGTACGAGTTGGATGGATGAAGTGGAAAAGTGCATCTGGGGTGTTGTGTGACCGTCGTATGCCACATAAGCTCAAGGAAAAATTTTATAGGATAGCAATAAGGCCGACAATACTTTATGGCACGAAATATTGGGCGGTGAAGTATCAACACATACATAAAATGGGTGTAGCAGAGATGAGAATGCTTCGTTGGATGTGTGGGCACACGAGGAAGGATAAGAATAGGAATGAAGATATCTGAGATAAAATATGAGTAGCTGAAATTGAAGAAAAGATGAGAGAAAATCGGTTACGGTGGTTTGGACATGTGAAACGAAGGCCTACTGATGCTTCGGTTAGAAGATGTGATTACGGGACAAATGTTTAGGGCCGAAGGGGTAGAGGGAGACCTAAGAAGACTTTGGAATAGACTTTAAGAAAAGACTTAGAATACTTAGATCTAACGGAAGAAGTGGTAGATGACCGAGCGCAATAGCGTTCTAGGGTTCATATAGTCAACCCTACTTAGTGGGAAAAAGTTTTGTTGTTGTTGTTTGGAGTAGAGTTTCTAACGACTTTTCTAACCTCCTGGGGACAAAGGTAAAAGGTTAGGTCGAGTCGAGATTTTTCAGAGTCGCCTGATACGGTTTAGTATACTAATAACAATAAAAATGATTGAAAATAAAAAAAAAATTCAACTAATTATATTGATACATGATGTATTCAACTGTGTTTCTCAGAAACTGAAAAATTTATCGGTAGAGTAAAGGGATTTACCTAAAAGTTCGGATTTTTTTCATTCAATTACCCACCAAATTGTAAGATTACCAAAATATGTTTTGTGCACGTTGGATGTATTATGTATTCACATTGTTGAGCAAAAATTGTACATAATATGTAAACAAATAATTCACTCGATACAATTTCACCTTCGTTCATTTTTCCGAAGAGGATTTTATTAATTTGAGTTCAACTCATTCTAAACTATGCGTCTATTAACTACAATCCTCCGTCAAAAAGGAAAAATCCTTTGATTCCAATATGAATAAATCGTAATTTAGGGATTTGGGTGTTTGATTTTGATTTTGTGACTGCACCTAGGTAGAGCCCTAGATTGCCTACGTACCCTTATTGAGGGATCAAGTCACGCATAGTTCATGTATTTGTTGGAGTTTGATGTCTTGTGCAGTTTCAACTCGTGCAGGCAAGAAGCATTTGATGTTTTATGCAGTTTAGGCTCTTGTAGGCGAGGACTTCGAGTCACTTGGAGCTTTTAATGCCTAGTGCAATTTTAGCTCATGCGGGTTAAAACTTTGAGCCATTGGAGCTTTTGATGCCTCAGCAATTTCTGCAACGCTTTTGTCCCTCTTTGTATACTTTTACCGTCAATCTCCTCTGTGCTTTCCTGTCTCCTCTTTGAAGACTTGAATTTTCCAAAGTCTCGAATAGTACTGCACGGCCGTCGGGTATGGCTGCAGAAACAGCTTTTGAGCTTCTGCAATCTGTTTCAAAATGCAACTTTAGAGCCACTTCCGCTGCAGCTTGTATTTGCTTCAATGCGATGAATGCCATTTCAATTCCCTGCTTTTTGACCGAAACGGTGGCAGAGACGATTTTGATGCGATGAATGCCATTTCAATTCCCTGCTTTTTGACCAACACGGTGGCAGAGACGATTTTGGACCGGGGGACTTTTTCTTTCCTCAAATTCTCGGCTTTCCCTTCGGATGTCTTCCGCATTTTCTGAAGGCTTTGGGTTATTCTCGCAACTGTCGATGGGATGGGAATGGCTCGCAGCGATTGGTGTTGCATTTTTTGCCTGCTCTCATTGTGACGAGAGCGGTGCTGCGATGGCATAGGAAGGGCAGTGCAGATTAGCGGCGGTTGTTGATCCTCTCCTCTTGTCGTGACTTTCTTCGGTCTCTTCTAGCTTTGTGCAACACTGCATCACCAAATCCATCTCCTTCAAGTCACAGAGTGCATGGGCTCTTTCTGGAAGACAACCGGAGACGACGGCTGGAGACATGGCACGGCTGCTACCTTCGTTTGGGCTTCCGTCTGAAGTCGGCGGTTGTTGCAGCATTATGCGAGGAAGGAAGGGCTGCAGTGTGCGTTGAAGGAGAGTCCAAGATAAGTAGAGAGAGAACTGCGGTGGGCTCACGGTCTCCGAATGTCACCACTTTGCTACTGCCTTTCCGTTGTTATCGGCCAAGACGAGGGTGCACTTTGCGGTCTCTGGGCTCACGGATGGGACTCTCGCTGGGCAGAGAGGAACAAGGAGCAGCCGTCTAGACCTTGGGGAGTCGACAGCAGCAGGGAGCGGTGAGCGTCCCTCTTTCTTCTCTGCTCGCCAACCGCATCTTTGGCTTCGTGTTCCGCTGCCTTCTCTCCTTCTGCAACTGTTTCTTTGGCATCGTCTGCAAATAAGAAGAGCCAAGTCTTCCTTCTTTTCCTCTGCAAAAAGCTGAACCAACACCAAGACAAAGAACAAATTATAAACAATAAATTTATACCTAGAACTTTTGCTCCCTTTGCCGTGTCTTCCTTGCTTTCCCTTTTTTCCTTCTCCCGTGAACCCCTCCGTACTCCTCTCTTCCTTTTTGTTGGTTCTCTGCTGCTTTTTCTGCGTTTCATTTTTTTTCCAGTTTGCTTTGGCCTTTAGTGCCTTTTATAGGCGAACGGTCGAAACGGCAGTTGTGGTTAGTAGGTGAGTGCTACCAAGTTCGAAGGGCAAACCGACAAATATGCCTTTAGGCTGTGAGATTTATTAGCTTATTGAGACCAAATACAAAGAATGAAATTTATGTCTTGATAAACAATAAAAAAGGTTACTTTGGATTAGTTTCAAGTATATATTGGGAAATTTAACCAAAAATAATAAGAGGGGAGCATCCATTTGGTCTTATCCACATACTACCAAGTACCAACCATAGAAAATTAGAAATGCATATGCCTCTCATATCGGCATTACTACAAAAGATAAAGTGATTTTCGCGCTTCCCTCGATTTCCGGCCACAATGGTTACGGTCTTCAAACAAATTTCCACTTTGCACTTCTATCGTAATCGAAAAATGAAAAAAACAATCTGTACTTCGGTCCCCTTTTAGGGCTGATTTGGTATTGCTGTGCTTTGAAAAAAAAGCTGCTGTGAGAATAAACGGTTGTGCTGTAAGAATAAGCGGCTGTGAAATAAATCAACAGAGTGTTTGGTAAACTTTTTTTGTAAAAGTGCTTTTGGAAAAAAAAAAAAGGCAGTCTGATAGTGAATCTTTTCATTAAAGGAGCACTGTAGCTCCGTGTGCTTTGAAAAAAAGCCAGTTTTCCAAAGCTGCAAATAACAGCTTCAGCTTTTTTCTTTGATTTCAGCTTATTCTCACAACAGCTTCCAAAATAAGCCATTTTTTTCAGTTTACTAAACACCTAAAACCCTCCCAGCTTTTTTTCATGGGTGCTTTTTTTTTTAAGCACCTCACTCCCAAACCATCCCTTATTATACTCTAAGACTGAGGCAACATACCACGCATTCTATCTAGTAACATCCTTAAATAACATTCAGAAAACTTTGATGGTATTCGTAAAATCGACTCACTTCCATACATTCTGATTTGCCAAAACTAAAAGAGGTCCGTACATTACACATTCCACATGCTAGAAAGGTAGGTGCGCCGCCAAATTGTACCCATCAATCCATTGAGTTTTCGTGCAGCAGAACATACTCCCGGCTGCAAAAAACCAAATTATGAGGACGGTGTCAAAATATGCGACATAAATATTAGCAACAGTACAGAATTGACTGCAAATCATCAGAACGGATGAACAAATTTGAAGAGATATACAGAAGTTTTCCCAATCAACCAACCTAACCAAGGAAATCATCTTTCAAACTTGAAAATAAAGTCGACCAGGAAATATGAATCACTTGGAGCTGATTGCAGTTACAAACACGTAGGGGTGATATTTGATTGTTCATATGTTCCAGGCTTTCTAAAGCTCTAGTTTGTTTCCATGCATGTCATTCTTCAATTGATTCCAATTACTTACACTTCTAGTCCTAGAAACTACATGAACATGAGAACTATTGTTTCAACGTAATCCAAATATAGTAACCTTCTAAATCAAACAAATTCAATTCAGGTATTCACCTGCAAGATCACTACAGTAATCGGTAAGGAAGAAAGCATTATAAAAAAGATGAGTATTTTCAGGGGGACAACAATCTAAGCATCACAAAGCTCAAGTTAGATAATTGATTAGTGACGTACCTACTATTACCAAATCTGATTGTATCCTTTTCCATAAGTTCATAATATCGTTGAGGTTCGATTGCATTTTCCTGCAACAACAAAGTAAATGTTAAAACCAAGTTCCTGCAAATACAGTAAAACCAAGCTTTACTCTACACAACACAAATGCAAAAACCAATAAATCTAATGAGCCACTTACATTAAGAAAAGTTTTATTTGTGCTTCCGAGGTCCATCAAGTACGGCCTACAGTTGTGCACGCAAGAAGTTAGATATGAGATTTGAAAAATTCACTCTCAAATTAATGGAATTAACCGCAAGGTAACTTTGTCTTACCTTACTTCCTTTGATAACATACCATCAGGTTGCTCCTTTTCTACTTGCCTGGTATGACAAGTAAAATAGAATAAGATACTAGTTGCTAACCAAGAATCTATATAGCAAAAATAGAACTACAAAATTCTAGATCTACCGGTATTGTATAACAGCATGTTGCTTGCTGCAGGATGGGTGATCTGTAGGGACGTCTGCTACCCTTCTTTCCCTCCCAAATAGGTAACAGCTTTGACGATGTATGTAAAGGGGGTCTGGAAATCATATATATGGAAAATCACCAAAACTAAGTCATCACGAAAAGAAAATGGAAAAGCCCAGCTTGGGAATGGTAATCACTACACAACAATATGCTCACCTAAGCAATGGAACTTAACTGGTCTACTCAGTAATACAAAGTCAATAAAGTTTAAACACAAAATTAAACTAAGTGCAATAAGAACCTAAAGCAACAACAAAAACAGTTATCAGTATATTACTATATTACATAGTTTTATATTTTTCTCTTTTGGGAAGAAAACTAGAGCAAATGCCTCAAAATCTAAAATAAATTTCCAGTAGTAGTAAACACCACAATGTACAACAACCATTTATTTGTGTGCAAAACTTGCAATATATTATATTTGAACGAAAAGTCTTAAACAATCAAATATTTCTTAAACTGTCCAATATTTATTACTCACACCATTGCACCCAAGCCAATCACTGATTGGAACTTTTAAGGAGATGTTTCCATTACGAGAAAAGGAAAAGAATTACTACAGTCTGCTAGTCTGAATAAACAATGTTATCTGGAGAGGTTAAGTGTGTGATAGAAGTTACTACATGGATCTTAAGAACACAAAAGGCCTACCTCCTCTTCAGCACAAGCACTTATCCTTCTTCACATAGAACTAGTTCTCCCTACAAGCCTATGGTCACTTAAATAAAAAATGAAGATTGATGCCTCATTGTGGGTTTGCAGCCCGGGTCTTAAGAAAATCAGAGAATCTTCAGCCAGTAGCTCTTCAACCTTTGGTGTTTAACTATTTTTGAAACTTGAATTCAAATAAGGTATTTTGCCTCCACACAAAAAAAGGCACTTTAATCACACATGACACGAGGTCTTTAGAAGCATTTTACATTTATACAGAAGAAACCCGTCAGTACTTAACAGCTCCCTCATTATCACTAGTCATTCAACCTCTAAGTGTCACTGTTAACGAAGCGCATGAAGGTCGCAAAAAAGGCACAAGAACAAGTAGATAATTTACCTTTCAAAACTTCACCACCCTTGAAAACATAAAGTCTCCATCTCACGTTAGGTTTTCGTGCTTCTGGAGGCTCGGTGAATAATAGTGTTACACCTGACAAAGTAATAACCACATGAAAAAGATCATTTTCGTTTTATTTGTTATAATAACAAACAAATAGAAATGCAAAATCTCTACAATTTCTATGCGAATTTTTTTAGAGAAGACAAATATTTGTAATTTAGGATATAAGTAATAAGAATATTTAACATCCTAGTTATGTAAGAGATAGCCATTCAGTTTCTCACTGTGACATATGGCTTCCCCATTTAAGTGATTGGTTGTTATTTAGTTTCCTATTGTGATCCGCTTGTACTCAGAAATGGAGATCTCACCATTGACTCTATTGGTTTCTGCAGCAAGCTTCCCAGACAGCTCAAAAGAAGGTTTTTGCTGTATATAGTAAAAGGAATGAAAGGTAAGTACAACTGCAAAAAGAATAATATGCACTAAAATGATACTTGGAAATAAATGAAGCAAGGTTATCTATCACAGCTTGCACCCGGTAGCTGAAAATATCAGCATGAATAACAAAAAGTAGATGATAGTTATGAATCAAGAAAGAATGTTATCTATGCATTACTTACCTTTTGCTTTGCTTCCAAGGCCTCCTCTGCAGCCTTCATCATCGCTACTGCATCATTCTCATCATCCCTGCCCAAGAAAGCAACCAACAGTCATCAAAATCTACACCCAGGGTTATTGACATTAAAACGTGAGCACTCAGACTTTGAAAAAAATTGAATCAACTTAGTCCAAAAGTGTAGAACCTCTGTTCAAGTGAATCTAGCCTAAAAAGTTAACATACATGAAGGTTTATTCTGTTAAATTAACAAAAATTGGCTTCATATTTCTTCCATTGACACCTATATCTTATTTATTATTAAAAAATTAACATGTTTTCTTACTTTTACTACATCATGAAGGTTTACTCTTGTTAATTAAGAATATATTGCTTCATTCACCTTTATCTCCTCTCATTCACCAAAACTAATAAATAGAATGATTAAAAATACCAAAGTACAATAAACAGAAAACAAAAAGTTTTAACAGATCAACTCACCCTTGCTCAGCTCCTCTTGAATTTGGCACCTGAAGAAATTACCTTTGGTTAGATACTTTAGATAAGAATCAATGCAAACCGAAAGAGAAGTCACTTATAAGCATCACAGGATATCATTGCACAATGAATGCTAAAATAATTAATGATTATTTTGTGAAACTAAAATAATTAATGATTACTGACTAATTTTCTGTGCTCTGCTTCATTTAAAAAAAGTCTTAAAACATACTGGCACGAGTGAATAGGTGGGTGAAAAAAAGAGAATAACATAACTGTTTTAAATTGAAATGTAAGTTACTGAAAAGTAAACCTATGCAAAATAACCTCTGCCAATCTATAATGATGTAAAAATGCTTTCCAAAGTCATCAGTGAAATTTAAGAAGTAAACTAAAAAAATGAAATTTAAGAAGTAAAAATCTTCAAGACGGAATAAAATTATGGGGGAGGGGGGCTTGAGAAGTTGAAGGTGTGGATATCACCAGACACCTCATCACGAATTCTGGTATTGGCAGCATGTTGAGGTGAATGAGAACTATGTCTGTTCTGGTGGTGCCGATCTAATGGAGAAGTAGACCGCCCATGTCTTGATCTTGAAGACCTGTGATCAGCACTGTCTTTTCCTGACTTTCTCTCCACTTTGCCACTCTCAGTTTCCCTATCTGAACCTTTTTCCCTTTGCATACTTCTATCACTCCCTCTGCCATGATTCCCTGCATGGTCTTTATCAATTACTTTCTCCACACCTCTAGTATCACCAGCAGGTTGAGGTGAGGAGGATCTATGCCTACTCCTGCGCTGTCGATCTGATGGAGAAGTACCATGTCTTGATGTTAAAGATTTACCATCAGTATCATCTCTTCCCGATCGTCTCTCCTTTCTATCGCTCCCAACATCTCTCACTGAACCCCCTTCCTTCTGTAAATCCTTATCAGGTCCTTTCCCATTGTTCCTTTCAGATACTCTTTCAGCCTCTCTTCCAGCTTGAGCTCTTCTTAACCGTTTTGTCCGGGGAGAAGGAGAGTGAGCAAGAGGAGAAGGGGACCTTGCATGCTTCGGAGACTTATGGTGACTCGAATGTTTCTCCCTTGGTGGAGAACTACCCCTGTTGGATCTCCTATGTCGGGCAGGTGATCTTTCTGTTCGAGATGGACTCTTCCTATATGGGCTCCTCCTACGAGGAGACCCAACCGGAGATACTGAACGATTTGAAACGTTACGCCCCATTAATCAATTCACAAATGCATGAGCCTCTTCACCTATCCAAGAAAAATTGACACACAAAGTAAAAATTCAGATAAAGCAACAACAAAAAAATTGTAAAAGCTCGAGGTCATGTACTGGTCTAATATGCATCAATATCCTCATCACCCAATATTTGTTAATGGAAATGCTAAATAAATAAATACACAATCAACCATTAATTATATTCTACACACAATTTTCAAATGGTGAAAAATTCAAATAACAAGCCCACCCCAGAAATCATCTGTAACGGCAACATAAGAAAAGAACTTCCCAGCAGGCATAACACACAGAGAGTTCGCAAAAGCAAAACGTTTATAAAAACACAAAAATCAAGACTGGAAATTTTTAGTAGAGACATTCATCAAACAGTCGGTGTGCACGTTGGAGCATGTTATGATGCAGCGGCAATAGCTTACGATAGAAGTTCAAATATGCAGAATACAGAAATGGAAAGATACGATTTGGGGCAACGAAGCTTTGGAATTTCCCGACGTTGAAACAGAAGAAACGGTAGGGTTTTGGTATCAGAGGTTTTACTGAAAAAAAAGAAAAGGGAAAAAATCTACTAACCTGAGAGAGAGTAGAGCGGCAATGGCGAGGTTGAAGCTTCGTCGACGATGTGGTTGTCGCTGCAAATTGGTAGCATAAAGCTCTGGATTGTAAAGTGTGGAAGGAATATGAATACGATTAAGTTTAAACCAGAAGGCGGTGGCGGATCGGAAGTGACTGGGAGAGTATGAGACTGTGCAAGCCCAAGCCCTAAACTTTTTTTGGTCCCATGTGACAAAAGAATTTCTATATTTTTAAACTTTTTTTTCTTCAGAAAAAAAATAATTATAGTGATAACAAAAGAAGGAATTTCAAATAAAATAAAATCAAGGAGTATAATAATCTTCTTTTTTTCTCCAAATTGTTTGACTCCCAGGGCGAGATGGATGTGGCGGAAATCATGCGGGTGGTGACCCCTAAGGTCTTAGCAGAGATGAACCAAGAGCTTATTCGGCCGGTTTCAAATGATGAAATTATAGAGGCGTTGTTTCAAATGCATTCGACTAAAGCGTCAGGACCTGATGGTATGTCATCGGGTTTTTATCAGAAGCATTGGGAGACTATTGGCCAAGATGTGTGTGATGGGATAAGGCATATTCTGTCATTAGATCATATGCTTAGGAAAATCAATTATACCCATGTCCCCTTGATTCCAAAGAAAATTGATCCAACCACAATGACTTAGCTTAGGCCGATTAGTCTTTGTAATGTGATTTATAAGATTTGCTCCAAAGTTCTTACTAACCGACTGAAGGTTTTTCTTTCGGAAATTATTTCACCTTCGCAAGGTGCATTTATACCGAAAGGCTAATTTCTGATAATTGTTTGGTTGCCTCGGAAATTGTACATTATATGCATAGGAAGAATAATGGGTGGAATGGGGTGATGGCATTGAAGTTAGACATCAGTAAGGCTTATGATCGTATTGAATGGAGTTTCTTGGAGTAAATCATGAAAAGGTTGGATTTTGCGGAGGAATGGATACACTGGATAATGATGTGTGTGTCTACAGTTTCTTATTCATTCAAACTGAACGAGGAACTGGTGGGACTTGTTTATTCGAAACAGGGAATTCGTCAAGGCGACCCGCTGTCACCATTCTTATTTGTCTTATGTGTGGAGGGATTATCAGCCTTATTTGATTCATGGGAAGCCTAAGGCCGGATTCAGGGGGTGCAGGTTTGTAATGGGGCACCAAGTGTCCATCATTTACTTTTTGCGGATGATAGCTTTATTTTTTCCAGGAGTTCTCTGCAAGAGTGTTTGCAGGTAAAGGAATTATTACGTACTTATGAATGGGCTTCCGAATAAGCGGTCAATCTTTCCAAGAGTTGTGTTGCGTTTAGTTAGAATCTTACGGAGATTGATGCTCAATTGTTGGCTGATTGTTTAGGGATGGAGCGGGTGGAGTACCACGATTGGTATCTTGGCTTATCGGTGTTCATTGGTCGGTCTAAGAAAGATACATTTACTTTTATTAAAGACCGTTTGTGGAAAAAGTTCAATGGTTGGCGTGGATCCTTGTTGAGTAGTACGGGGAAAGAGATTTTGATAAAAGCGGTTGCCCAGGTTGTGCCACTGTATACAATGTAGACGTTCTTGTTGCCAAAATCCTTTCATAATGAGCTAAACTGAATGGTGGCGCAATTTTGATGGGGAAAAGAAGCAGGAAGACGGAGAATACATTGGGTAAAATGGCAACGATTGTGTAAACCAAAAAGTGAAAGTGGCTTGGGGTTTAAGGATTTATATGCGTTCAATCTTGCTTTGCTTACAAAGCAAGGGTGGAGATTACTACAACAACTTAATTCTCTTGTTGCAAGAATGTTCAAAGCTCGTTACCATCCTACCACTGAGTTCTTACAGGCTTTAGTTAAGCCTAATTCCTCGTATTGTTGGCGTAGTGTGGTGGCATCTCGGGCAATTATTTGCCGAGGTGCGAAATGGAGGGTGGGGGACTGTTTACGAATTCATATTTGGGGGGATAGTTGGCTGCCACGAGAGCATTTTTATAAAGTTCTTAGCCCAAGACTGTTGGGGGTGCATCCAGAGCTTACGATTAGATCATTAATGGTGGAGGATGATGGGATTCATTCGAATTCCAATTTGGTTTGCAATTGGTTCTTGAAGGAGGAAGCGGATTTGATTTTGATCATTCCCTTGAGTTTGTTTTGCCCAGTAGATTCTATGATTTGGGCAAAAGAACCTAAAGGTTTATTTACAACTAAGAGTGCGTACTTTGTAGCAAGATCATGCCAAGGAATGGGTGGTGATGAGCCTACGCGTTAGGTGCTTAATGCCAACACTAAGTTCTTTTGGAAAGCATTGTGGTGAGCTAAAATTTCGGGGAAAGTGAAGATATGTGTATGGCGTGGGTATATTTGCCTTCCAAAGTGAATTTGAAGAATCGACGAGTACTTACGGAGGTTACTTGTGGTTTTTGTGATAAAGATGCTGAGACAATGGAGCATGCTTTACTAATGTGTGCATGTTTTACTAATGTGTCCTAGAGCGGCTGGGGTGTGGTTTGGAAGTCCTTTAGGAATCCGTTTGTTTCATCGAATTGAGGAGGGCTTTCGAAGTTGGTTGGAGAATATGGCGCAAAATATGTCTAAGGATAGTTTTGAGCTGCTACTTGTCCTTGTTTGGAGTATTTGGAAGGTACGTAATGAGTTTCTTTGGAATGGTGTTGATGTGTCTCTTTCGGATACCCAAATCAAAGCACAAACGTGGCTAGCGGAATTTAAAAAATGGAATGCTATGGAACCGCCAAACTCATCGACAAGAACATATAAATGGCAGCTTTCGGCTTCTGGATGGATAAAATGCACTTTTGATGCAGCTTGGGATGAGAAGAAGTCAATTGGAGGTTTTGGGTTGGTCGTGAGGGACTCGAAGGGAGGTTTTCTGGTGCCATAGGTGAGCAGGGAGGATGATATCAAATCAGCATTACATGCAGAGGCAGCTGCCGCAATTGGGCAGATGGGTCACGGAGTAGGTCCAGGTGGAAGGGAATGCATTACTGGTGGTTTCTATAGTTCAAAATGCAGGTGCAGCGTACAGTGGTCACTACAGACATATGTTCGATGAAAGGCGGCTCCTGGAAGATTTCAAGCAATGGAAAATCACATGTGGTCGAAGAGAGACGAATAAGGTGGCTCATCGCCTTGCAAGGTTTAGTCTAACTGTTGATCACCCAGTTTCTTAGTTTGAAAAACCTCCTGATGTAATTTATGATTTATTATTAAAGGATAGTTCTAGTAGTTAATTTGGTGCAAAACACACTTTTTTCCTTCGATCGGGTTGAAAGCCCTGACAAGGTTTTTGTTAAGGCCTAATGTAAGCATCCTATCCTCAGTTTGTACGTGTTCTCAATCTTCAATGAATATCGTACTTATATTAAAAATAAATAAATAATCTTCTTTTTGAAAGCGATTTACTTCAAATCATTTCAGCTCTTCATAATCTAATTGGACCAATTTATGACTGAGCCAGCATTAGTGGATGCCAAGTTGATGTTAGCTTAGATCATTGAGGTTCATTTTACCACTACAAGGAAATTGCCTTCTTGCTACACTAAAAAATGTTGCCAATAAAGTGGCTCATCGTCTGGCTTGCCTTGCACTTTATTCAGATGATATTTACATTTGGTTATGAAGAACCTCATGATTAATTTTAGATGTTTTGTTGAAGAATTGTAATATTTAGATTAACTACTTTATAGTTTCAAGGGAGGGGAATAGTTTATTAGAGAGGTTGGTTCTTTCTAATTGCTCTGAGCGGGAAAGAAGTACTCTATTTAGGTAATTCCACGACCAAACTATGGGTCTTGTTCTTTTCACTTGCATTGTGGGAGGAAAGTAAGGCTACAAGGCTGCTAAAATGCACAATCATAAGAACTTTGTAGCACAATTGGATAAAAACATTCTCTTGCAACAGATGTCCCAAATTTGAATATCCCTCTCCTATTATTGCTAGAATTAAAATTAATAAAAAATCACAAACCCTATTTCATTGATGCAAGCATGTGATATATAGGCTTATGCATGATAAATTTCACGTGTTTATCTTATTATTTTGGCGCAAGACAGTTTAGTCTAATAAAAAAATAAGCATACTTGAGAAAGACTTATGTGTGATGAGTTTCACGTACTTAGCTTATTATTTTAGCGTGAAAGACTGTTAAATTCGTTAACTTTTCAGATTCAAGTAACTACACAGCATTATTTTTATAACAATCGTAACTGGGAATAAATAAACAAAAAAAAACTTGTCATATAAACTCGGATTAGTTTCTTTTATCGTTTCACTTTTCCTATTTTTGATCCATATTACCTTGTTCTTGTTCAACATACAATTCACCCACACAACAAATACCCTTTTGAACCCAACTCCATAAAACGTAGTGTCTCTCTATTACACCCCATCTCCCGGTCGTCTCTCAACATCAAAGAGGCACACAACTTTTCGCCAAACCCCGAAACGGTGCCTCAAACAATCATATCATCTCCTATTAAGTCATCCCGGTCCCTTCAACTTCTTTCAGTTCAATCCCGCCACCCTAATAAACAAAAACACAACCATGGACCGCCTCTCAAACCTCCCTCATCCCCTCCTCTCGCACATACTCTCCTCCTTGCCCTTCAAAGAAGCGGCAAAAACCTCCTCCTTGTCGAAGCAATGGCGCAACCAATGGAAATCAACCCGAAACCTCGACTTCAACCACCTTTACTTCGCCAATCGTGATTCTAACGGAGATGTCAAACTCCAACCACAAATCTTCACCGATTTCGTCCAACAATTTATTGCAAACAACAAAAGTCCCATCATGGACAAACTTTCCCTCACATTTTCTTCGCCTGGAGACTCCCAAGAATTGGTGGAAAAATGCATCACATTTTCTTTCGAGCGCAACGTAAAACACCTGAAGCTTGATTTCTCCGACCCCACATGGGATGAAAACGACCTCGATGGCCCGGCACATCCAATGTTTGATTTGCCTCTGTCTTTTTACAACCATCAAGTTCTTGAATCCATGACGCTCTTTTCTTGCAAATTCGACGTTTTAAGATTCAAGAATTTTGGGTTGCTGAAAAGTATTTCGCTGCGTTGGATCGAACTCAAAGTTTCTACTCTCAAGGCTTTGCTGGCCAACTGTGGGTGTCTCGAGAGTTTGAGCGTGAAGAGTTGCTGGAACATGGACGGCCTTGATGTTTGTGGGAAGGACTTGAAGTTGTCAACTT